ACTTCCTTCAGGTACCAACATATTTGACCTCTTGACCTTGAACTTGGAGTTTGATCCTCTTTCGCAAAATTTTACCAAACTATAACCTTGGCCAAAACTTTTGAACAGTTGGTGCTACGGCTTTTATACTTCACATCTGTATCCCTTGTGATAAGTCTCCTCCTTGGGTATAAATATGTTTGACCATTTGACCTTGACCTTGGAGTTTGACCAACTTTTAAACAACTTTAGCCTTGACAATAACTTTTGAATGACTAGTACTAGGGCTTTTATATTACATAGGTAATTTTCTTGTGACAAGGCCTGTCATTGTATACCTTTAATTTTGACCATTTTACCTTGACCTTTGATTATGTCCTACTTTTGAAAAACTTTAACCTTGGTTTTAACTTTTGAACAGTTGGTGCTAAGGCTTTTTTAATACCACATGTGTATTCTTTGTAACAATTAAGACCTTCCCTCAAGTACAAACAATTATGTTCCCTTGACCTTGGAGTTTGACCTTTTAAAGAAATTAACCTTGGCCATAACTTTTAAACTGTTGCTGCTGTGGCTTTCATACAAGTATATATTTCACAGTATATTCTTTGTTCAAGACCTTTATTTGGGTAATAACATTTTTTTTTTATCTTTTGATCTTGACCATGGAGTTTGACTTGCATTTGAGAAACTTTTAACTTTTGCCATAAGATGCCATATGGGGGCATCAGTGTTTCAAAAATCACATGTTCAGTATCCAAATTGGGCATAAAACATTTACAATGATCCTTTAAAGCAGTGAGTTGAACCTAATAAATTACGACTATAGAAATTATGATAATTTATTTCGATGTATGGTCTAAAAAAACGTTTATTATACCTCTGTGAAAACTAGCTTACAAGTGAAAAATCACTAGTAAAATAGAATTTGATTGGCCGAGAATGTCACGTGTCCATCATGTTTGCCCTGCAACAAAACGTCGTGTTTCACGATTGTGACGTCACAATTAAACGAGTGAGGAGTTAGATTGTTTATAGCGACGCTGCTAACTTCGTTCGCGCGGTAACAACAACTAAAAATTCACCCCAAAAAATCACCTTAATTAATGGAATTGCATACAGATATTAGATTAAACGTTCTTTATTAAAATGTTTGCACTTTTCAAAATTCGTTTATGGAAATACAGCTAACATACGTCATGAGACGTCACAGTCTAGACGTTCCAAATGTCTCGTGCTGTTTGAAGAGGTGGATCTTAAAATTAAGTGAACAATGCACTCGCCCAACGGTCGCACCGTCAGCATATTATCGTTGATTGATTGTGTCGATTTAAATGTGTAAAAATGTAATGGTGTTTGAATGTTACTGGTGTGATCACACAAACTTGTCACGTAGGATTTTTTTTTTTAATGAAACGAGGCTATTGGTGTACCTGTAACTTACATCTCTTTCATATCGTTCTCATCAAATGCATGTTTGCTTTATTCATTGGATCTCCTTTGTAATTCCTGCATTTTGGTTAATTCGGTATTATAAACAATTTATTGCATAATAGTGAGGGAGACATAAAGATTTCTTCGCAAATGAAAAATCATATTTCTCTCGGGCGTTGCCTTCGGGGAGTATGATTTTTCATGGGCGAAGAAATCTTCAAGTTGCCCTCGGGGAATATGATTTTTTATGGGCGAAGAAATCTTCATGTCTCCCTCACTATCATGCAATAAATGCAAACTGTGAACTTGTCAACTGCGAAACACACAAAAGGGTATCGCTGATATCATACAGAGTGTATCATTGCCTTGATCAGGCCCATAGGAAGCAAATTCAGAGGTTTTTTTTTTTTGGGGGGGGGGGGCACAGCCATACATTTTCAGTTGACAGTTGAGGGGGCACTACTACCATAAATTTCCTGACAAGCAAAAAAAAGGTCACCAACTACCAAAAATTCCTTGACAAGCAAAAAAAAGAAGGTTATCAGACGTTTCTATCGAGGTGGCACAAGCTATAGTATCTATGTCTACTATAGTAATCTATATATCGGCAAAATTATTGGGGGCACGCCCCCCCCCCTCCCTCGGTTCCTACGGCCATGTTGATTAAATTTAGGGTCACTAAGGAAAGAATGTTTTGACTGGATGAATGGTATGAAAGAACATGTGTTAACTTGTCGAGTCGGTAACACAAAGATGGGGTTTGCTTATAACCAGAGTGTGTCATGGTTTGATGCAAGGTCATTTGAACGAGTTCAAGGTCATCAACGGAGAAACAACATTCCTTAACTGTCTTTCTACTGGTGAGACATTGCAAGTTGATACCCCTTACAAGATTGCTTATAACCTTAGAATGTGGCATGACCTTGACTCAAGGTCACTTCTTCCTGTTCGCAGCTCCAACGGAAGACCTACTCGTTGCTTTGCAACGAGCTCTGCTCTAGTTTCATTTTATTTTACTTTGAAACTTTGTTAAAAGTATCAATTTACTAAAATACTCTAAATCTGTTGGTACCATGTTTCTATTATTTACATATACAGGCTATTATAGTTTATTGAATTACTTAATTGTTCAATTCCCGTCTTTTCCTAAATTTAAAATTGTTTTCGAGAATGCCTTTTGCTGTGGAGTGTCAGGATTTTAAATTAAATGCGTTGATTACGTCATCTGCTACTAAGAACTATGTAGATATATAAGTATAAGTCATAAATTCAAACATTGCGAAACAAAAGTACTTCCAGATCATAATTTTAGTTTTCCTTTTTCAATGAAAAGTGATGTCGTAACTTCCAGCGGTTTAAAAAAAACCTCAACTGATTTTGAAGTCAAAAGGTCCAAGGCCAAGGTGAGAGATTGATAAAGCACAAAATTGGTTCCCAGGTGATAACTTTCGTTCTTCTTGAGTTTTTTCAATGAAGTTTTGTAACAGCTTCCGGGGACTTAAAGTGGATCACTACACATTTTGAGGACAAAAAGAAAAGGTCAAGGGCAGAAATTCATGTACATTTAAAAAAGGGTTTCAGGTGATAGTTATAGTTTTTTAAAATATGAAATGAAATTTAACCTTTAGTCATTATCTATTTAAGAGGACAACTATTGATTTTGAGCTCAATGGATCGATCAAAGGCCAAAGTCAAAAACTCCTAAGGTCAAGGATTTCTTTAACTCAAAAAAGACCCCTATTGACTTTAAGGCTAAAGACTAAAAGGTTTATTGTTTTCTTAAAACACTTTGAATATTTCAATTCGTCCATCCTACTCGTTTCCTTAGGCGGGGGACATATTCCTTGAATTTTCTTGTTGTGTTCTTGTTGCCAAAAAACCTGATAAAAAAGTAAATACCAAAATACTCATCCCATTATAAGTGTCACTGTTTTTATTTTTCAAAAAATCCCGTTCTCAAGTTTCAGTGCCAAAAATTACTCGACAGAGGCACAAATTCGGTGCTACCTGAACTATTCATATTACATGGAAAATATCCATTTGACAGCAGAAGCAGATATTAAATTTGGAGAGAAAAGAAACGATAACAGTTATATTTTTTTAAATACATATTCCAACATGCATATTTTTTAAAATCAAAAAGTGTTTTATTTGTGAAGATGAAAACCATGTTCTGTTTTTGTTCTCGGCGCCGCATCAATTATAAGACTTTTAACATTGGTAGTGAGTGTTTATTCGACAAGCGCCCTTGCATTAACAGTGAAAGACATATAAGGGTCTTTCGGATGAGACCCTAAAATCGAGGCCTCTTTTACACAAAAAAAGAACCCATGCTTCTCAACGGCCCAGAGTGTCGAGTGAAGGTCTTAATTTGAAGCAAATCACCGGTATATGGCGTCTCAGAAGAGTAACATTTTCACAGGAGACAAAAAAAAAAAAAAAAAAAAAAAAAAAAAAAACAACGATTCAATTTAATTAAGAAATAAATAACAATGTTAAAAAGTTCTCTGGGAAATGAACTTGGTTGGTCACGTGATCAAATCCTGTGAAGCCCAAAGGGCTTCTCAGAAGATTTCATCACGTACCAACCAAGTTCATTTCCCAGTGAACTTTTTAACATTGTTGTTTATTACTTTTATTTACATTTGAGACGAATTTTCTGAAAAGAACTGCATTTATTACACGAACGGCCCGCCGTATTGCTATGTTGTGACGCGCAATGACCTAGAAGCTGTTTGGTCTTGAGAGTTCGCCTTGCTCCAACATTTGAATACTTACATTGATGTTCAGCAGTCCAGTTCAGGAAATATCTGTTCATAATGAGAAAACAATGATCGCTACTGAGAATAATCTTACTATTATTGTATGAGTTCTTTTTTTATGACGTCAAAAACGGTGGTATCGTCTTCAGTTTACATACCTTCAAAGGAATTTCGGGTTAAAAAGATAAGCGTGATTTTAGGCTAATTAAAAACATTCTTCACGCCGTAGAAAGAATTAATGATCATTTGTTAAACGAAAAAAACATATATGTTTCAATAATTTTATCTTGTTCATCGCTTTAACGGCTTAGAAGTCCCGAAACCAGTGTCACGGGGACAGAAATATGTAGACAATATATCATCTCGCTGTGTGATTCGGTCACGCCATGACCTCTGACCCCCTAAGTTCATACAGAAATGAACATATTTTCTCTTCAATAGGTTCATCTAAGATAAATATTTGCAAATGTAAATAATCTTATATAAAATGAATATATAATATTCTGTTTTACGTATTTTAATGCTCAGATGGATTAAAGATATCCGCGCCCCATTGAAAATTTTACAATCACATGAAGAAGTTAGGCGAAGAACCAAATTTAGTTAGAACAGTATTTTTTAAAAATAAATCTACTTTTGTATTTGAATATGAATATCAATTTCAAATCTCAACATGTTTGATGAGTGCACAATGAACAAAAACTAATCTTTATTGATCATTATACCTAGAATATTAAAACATAAAAGTTAAAAGGTGTAGCAATATTAATATGTTTTTCTGTTCATGAATAATTAAACCATGAGTAACTTTGTTCTTTTTTGTAGAAAAATACAAGCAGTTGTCAAATGAGGAACGTGCTGCTTTATTTCTCCTCCTCTGCAGCAATAAAAATACCTTTATTTTGGAAAACACAGAAATATTTACAAAAAGAGTATATGAAATTTGTGGTGCAAAATACGTTTCAAAGAGCATAAGTGATAGTATTCAAGCATTGCAATCGAAAGGATTCGTATCCATTGAGAACGAAAAAGTGACATTTGCTTCAGATGGTGTCCAAGACGAGACAATGTTTGATTACTTACACACATGTTGGAAGAGGAGCACAGGTGACAGCCAAGACGAGTTCACGCCTAAATACACGTTTATTAACAGAAATTGGAGAATAAATAGTCAATATGGTCCCTTTATTAAGAGACAGTTACTTAATGTGTCGCTAGAGAGTTCTGTGAAATATTTTAGAACGCAAAATTACCGGGAAGGGAAATTTGTTCGCTGTTTTTCCAGGGACATTAGAAACTTCATCACACAAACTTATTTTCCAGGAAAAAAGACGTCTAATAAAGAGATACTTACCAGAATTATTTCTAAGCTTGGAAAAGATATACTCATTTATGACATCTTGGATGATAAATCTCTGCATTCTACTATTTCAAGCCAATGTAAGTATCCTGCCTTTTCTTTTCATGCTATATCTCTCTCTTTCTCTCTCTCTGTCTTTCTTTTTTCTTTCTCTCTCTCTTTCTTTGTTCTTTCTTGAAATATACAGGAAAATCTTTTAAAATCTTCTTTCCAAGAATATCTGCATCAAAAAGGATCAAAGATACGTGAAATCTTCCTAATAAAATGTAGATTCTAAATTGTTCTACCCCCGGGATAAGGTAGAGCTACAATAGGGGGTCAAAGGATTACATGGGACTTTATACGATTTTTTTCCCTGAAAAAATTATTTTCAACCAATAATCCGCAAAAATTGCAATTGATGTTTTGTAGATTCATTTTTTCTTCTTCAAGATACGGATCCTGGTTGAAATCAGTTAAATTGAGATCTAGTTTAACACATAGGACAACATGGAGAATCTGTGTCCCCGCTTAAGGAAAAAAGAAGAGTATGAGCGGATCTAAGGGGGGAGGGGTTCGAAAGGGGGCGAACACTTTCGGAAGGGCAGGCGGGGCCATAGAGAGTGATATAAAATTTCATTGCAAAAGCTTAAAAGGTTCTTGGGATATCGCCCGAAAATGAACGATTTAAACACACAGTATGTATGATTTACAACCCTGACCTTTGACCTTTTGACCTCAAAATAAATAGGGGTCTTCCTTAGGCCATAGGAAGTTATGGTATGAAATTTCACTACAGAAGCTGAAAAGCTTCTCGAGATTCGCGCGGAAACGAGAGCTACAGACAGATAGAAATACGGACGGACGGACAGACAGACCGAAATTACATGTAATAAACACCCCCCCCCCCCCACTTTGTGATAGCAGGGGACAAAAATAATTTCTCCATAACTGACATGGCAACGCCATGTTAGTCATATCGAAAAATCCCCCCTTTGTGCAGACCTATTACACCATAATATGGGATCAAATTTTTTTCTTGTTTTCTTGGGAAAATGACAATTTTATAATATTGTAAGCTAACCCATGGGTGGCTGGTACTTTTGAATCCTCAGCATATATAGGTCATTGCTTTATCCTCCTAATAATTCACCTTTAATCAGGATGTACCAATAATTAATTTTGTTCTTATATAAATTACATCAGACTCTACTCTATATACTTTGTTGACTGATACTCAAGATGATTGATCAGTCATACTCATAAACATCTCATATAGCAGATAATATAGACAGTACACAAATGGTAGGGTTTCTGTATATAACAACATAAGAAAACGTATCTGATTCTTCAGAAACACGAGTTTAGGTCGTTCAGTGTGGTAGGAGATTTCTAACTAGACTAATTACGTTCAATTTACATTATAAGTATCTCACCGTCCTTGTTTTCCTTCTCTAGTTTTCGAATGTTGCCGCCATACAACCAGCTGAAACATGTCGTAGCGTAGTACGCGCTTCCTTATATAACCTCCTATCCCCTGTCACATGACTCAAATTATCCAATGAAAATATGCCGTACGAACTATCAACCAATCAGCAGCTTGTACGGGAAGCTGAGTTCCCACACAAGTTCCCACACAGAACTACTTTTGCCACACAAGCTACCATACAATATCGTATCAAATATAACAATGTATAGTTAACAACTGGAAATAGAATACATAAAATGAATTTGACTATATGAATTAATTAATACCCTCAATGTTTATAAAACCTCCCTAGGCCTAGGCTGTACAATAGACAATGAACAAGGTAGAGTAAAAATATCGTAGTACCGACAAAAATGTAAACAAATTTAGTCCCCATTAAGCTTTCTGATTATTAAGTTAATGCTAACAAAAAGAACAACTTATAGCCTCAAAGTTCACAACTCAAACTGAAACGTAGAATATGATTCAATATGTTAAACTTGAATAATAGATTGTAAATAGATATAGGTCACTAAACCGGAAATGACGATCCGAAATAAAGTATGATGGCTACCAAAACATAAAATGTAAAATCCACCCTCTTTTCCCTGATATTATTAATCTTACGATCTTACATGAAGCAACAACAGGTTTAATACGATAATGATAGCTATTACTACAATGTATCTAGATAAGACGACATATCATTTTCAATAAAATCATAAACGAACAACTTTTCTGGCAGGCACATATTGAGCATAGCTTTAACAAGAATGAGAACAAGACGACCGCATAATATTACGTAAAAAAATCAAATGATATATTCGAATATAAAATGCTGAGGAGGAACAGCAAGGCTGAAGTTGATCAAATGAGCTTTCTGATCCATGGGCCTGTTGATTGTACAGAAGTATGAATAAATTTAATAAAGACCAATACGTAGTAAATTGACAGCTTGTATTTTTTTCCGGTAATAGAAATGGTGTAGATTAAAATTCTTTTGGTAATAACATTAATCATTGTGATTATAAAATACTAGTGACAGACACTGTTTGTTTGAAGTGGGCACCAAAAAATAGCTACTATAACATTTAACATCCCTAAAACTTTTAAGCTGTTTTCTGTCACACTTTTGATGTTGTGTTTTGAAGGTTTTAATTTAGCACTATGATATGAAGTTTTCTTTAAAATTCAAAGCTGTCATGCTTGCAACAGCATCTAATACGGCTTTAATCTTTCCCCACCGACAATCATGAGAACTTTTTTTTCTGTTAAGGACGTTGCCGAACAATTTTTTGCCACTCTGGCAATCCTAACACTTGTGTCAGGCACATATCCCCAAGGAGAGTTAATATTATTAAATAAAGTTAAATTCAAAAGTAATCTCAGGAGACAAACTTTAATCAAAGTACCCATACTTTTTCAATATCTAAATAAACATGAATACCAGGACCAGTAGAGCTATAAAAACATTTATCCCAACATTATAAGCATGACCCATTACGTCTTGATCATCTGTCATCTCTGGACCTCTGAGCCTAAGGTGCCTGGAACGTACACAACATTCTTTGAGTCAGATTTTTTGTTTGTAAGCCCTTTATTGTGGTGTTCATTGCACAGCAAAAGTCGGCTAGAATTGTTTGGTACCGTAACTATGACAAAGTTCGGGGTTTTTGTGGTACAACGAGTTCCCTCTGGCTTTGCTGCATTCCGTCCATTGCTAGCTCTGTTACTGCTGTTCATGCATAATAGAATTTGTAGCTTATTTTCGCACTCTGTAAATATATTCCTCAATGCTTTTTCCTGGCTGTTGCTGGCAGGCGAAGGAGGTCCTTGTTGAATGATGAAGCGCGTATAAACCTTTTATTGATTGTATGGTTTTTTTTTTACCTCCCATTCGAGAATTTTTCACTCATATAGAGACGTCTTTAAACATTTTAAAGAAAGCTTCTAAAAAGATTGATAAGGAAACCTTCTTTGCTGGGTTCAAGATATTAAACCATTAGAGAGTTTTACAACTGAAATAAAAATAAAACATCTGGATGGCTCTCAGTGATGTAATGTTACATTAATTAAATTGATAAAAATCAACAACCAGTCTGTTGTTGATCTTTTTTTCCGTATTTTTGGAAGTTGTATAACGGGCACACGGGGAAACACACCTTAAGTCTGTGGAGGGTTGGCTTGCAGCGGCTGAAGAGGAGGTGGCGGAAGCATAAATGTTTGGTTCTCAAAAGCTACCACATGTATTCTTATTTCCCCAGAGATTGCATTTGTTGCACGTTTTTTTTTAACTTCTGCTTGTCTGAGCCTCCTTTGTATATTTTCCTAATATATTAATTTTTTTCCTGGAGTTGGCATTTTGATGCATTACGTTTTCTGTTTTTGTCGTGCATAGTAGTATTAAATACTAGTAGTATTAAATTGTTCTCCTTTGCTGGTCAACTCTTCAACAGTGGTGTTCAGTTCTGCCACTGCCTCTTCAAGTAGTCTTGGTCGTCAGTTGTTCCTCTGAGCAATTGAGAAAATACTTGATGCAGGCATCATATGTAGGGAAGAATTATCTTGCTTAGCATATAGGAGATAAGTTAGAATCTTTATTTTCCAGCACAAGCGATATCTCTCTTTTGTGTCTTTCGGCCTAAAGCGCTTCTTATCCTACTGACCAGCAATTCAAAAGGGGAAAGAACTTGAATTTGAGGAAAACAAAGATTAATCACGGTTTATATTCATGAGTTTTTATTACATAATAGAAAATTGTACAAAACATAAAATACTAGATCTGGTTCCAGTAAAAAAACTTTTTGAAAGATACTTTAAAATACTAGATATGGCTCAAGGCCCTTACAACCAAAATTCACAAACCAAAGTTATAAAATCAAAATATTTTAAAACCATTTTCTTAACAATTAGAGTATGGATACATTAAATCAATTTCATTTCCATTAATTGAAGGTATTTAAAACTGAAAGGCGATTTCAAAGAACTTTTTTTCTTGTAATGAAAATGTGAGTATAGGTTGGATGCTTTTAGTGCGACCGGTCTACTTAAATTGGAAGGATAGATAGTTTGTTTTTTTTCCTTATCACGTGTTCATCTATCTTTTTTAAAAAGATAAATCTGTTCACTAAAAATAATTTAGTGATTACTGTTGAGTAAGATGCACAACAGGGGAAAGTTTTTTTGGAATTTGAAAATTTATTGACTGCAAGTAACCGGAAGTAAACTTCCTCAGAGAAAGTTTTCTTTTTCAGTGAAAATCCCTGAAGAGGTATTACTTTGGGATTTAGATGCCCGAAGTCGATACTTAGAGTACTTGAAAAAAGGAAAAACACCCATATATAGAGCGCGAGCAATGATAGTGGGTTGTGCAGGAGCTGGAAAAACAACGCTATTAGGAAGACTGCAAAAGAAATCAATGAAGGATATACAAAATATCAAGTCTACTGTGGGACTAGAAGTGCATAATGATATTTTTGAAGTAAAGGAAAAAGAAGGAAAACTACAAGGTTAAAAATCTGTGGTATACATGCATGAAAAACTAGTTGTCTTAATAGGTAGATTGAGAGAGAGAGAGAGCATACATTTAAATGAAACGTGTTTTAAAAATTTTTCGTATTTTTTTTCAATCATTCAATATAAACAAAAGAAATCTTTCAATATACGAGGACTGTTAGAAAAGTTCGCGGACAACGTATATTGTGAGCGAGCTATTTGCATGATGCCAGTAAAATTCTGCAGATAAAAACTTCATGTATTTTCCAATAAATATGTAAAGATTTGGTGTCCTCCGATGATCTTTTAAGAATTATTCAGCTATATTACTTAGATAAAACATGCTTCACGGAGCAAGCCACTTTTTCACATGTTTACATTGCAAAGACAATTTTTGAAATTAAAATTTGCACAGTTGTAGTGTACAAAGAACTATTATATTCACCTGTCGTTACAATATTCATGAAACGTCATTTGGCGAAATTTTGAATTAAATTGGAGGGGTTATAACTGTTTTATCACTAATTATAGATGACCAATGTGTAAAACCGAAGTCAAGAATTACAAACTCATTTTGAACGACTTGGAGCACCTATCTATTAAAAAAATATGTGTACCGACAGGAAAAAACCCTAAAGATACTGAAATATTTTTAGATGCTGATGGAAATTATCTACATGTATCTAGGACCAATGTGTTCAAATGGAAGTAGCTTTGGTAGAATGCAAGGATTAAAATTTTTGATGAGGAACTCCTGCGATACCCCAATACCTCACTTATAGCATGGTTAGGAATAAATCTTTAAAAATCTTCTCCTCAAGAACAACTAAGCCACAATTAGTCATATTGATATGGAATCATCCTCAGATAGTGTAGATTCAAGTTTGTTCAAATCATGACCCCAAGGGGTTAGGGTGGGGCCACAATGGCCGATCAAAATTTTACATAGGAATTTAAAGAAAAAAATCTTTAAAAATCTTTTCCTCAAGAACAACAGAGCCACAATTAGTCATATTGATATGGAATCATCCTCAGGTGGTAGTGTAGATTCAAGTTTGTACAATACATGACCCCCAGGGGAAGGGTGGGGCCACAAAAGGGGATCCACGTTTACATAGAAATATATAGAAAAAAATCTTGAAAAATCTTCTCAAGAACAACAAAGTCAGAATTAGTCATATTGATGTGGATTCATCCTCAGGTAGTGCAGATTCAAGTTTGTATCAAATCATGACCCCTGGGGGTAGGGTGGGGCCACAATGGCCGATCAAAATTTTACATAGGAATATATTGGAATAAATCTTTAAAAATCTTCTCCTCAAAAACAACTAAGCCACAATTAGTCATATTGATATGGAATCATCCTCAGGTAGTGTAGATTCAAGTTTGTTCAAATCATGACCCCCAGGGGTAGGGTGGGGCCACAATGGGGGATCAAAGTTTTACATAGGAATACACTGTATATAGGAAAAAACTTTAAAAAAAAAATCTTCTCAAGAACAGCAAAGTCATGTTTTGTCATATTGATATGGAAGCATCCTCAGGTAGTGTAGATTCAAATTTGTTCAAATCATGACCCCTTGGGGTAGGGTGGGGCCACAATGGCCGATCAAAGTTTTACATAGGAATATATTGGAATAAATCTTTAAAAATATTCTCCTCAAAAACAACTAAGCCAGGATTTGTCATATTGATATGGAATCATCCTCAGGAAGTGTAAACTCAAGTTTGTTCAAATCATGACCTCCAGGGTTAGGGTGGGGCCACAATGGGGGATCAAAGTTTTACATAGGAATATAGGAAAAAACTTTAAAAAAAATCTTCTTCTCAAGAACAGCATAGTCATGTTTTGTCATATTGATATGGAAGCATCCTCAGGTAGTGTAGATTCAAATTTGTTCAAATCATGACCCCTTGGGGTAGGGTGGGGCCACAATGGGGGATCAGAGTTTTACATAGGAGTATATAGGGGAAAAAACTTGAAAAATCTATTTCTCAGGAACAGCAAAACCATGTTTTGTCATATTGATATGGAATCATCCTCAGGTAGTGTAGATTCAAGTTTGTTCAAATCATAACCCCCAGGGGTAGGGTGGGGCCACAATGTGGGATCAAATTTTACATAGGAATATATAGGAAAAAATTTTTTCAACAACAGAAAAGCCATGTTTAGTCATATTGATATGGAAGCATCCTCAGGTAGTGTAGATTCAAGTTTGTTCAAATGATGGGGGGGGGGGTTGGTTAGGGAGGGTCCACAATGGGGGATCAAATTTTTAACAAGGGAATATATAGGAAAAAAATCTTTAAAAATCTTCTACTCAAAAAAAGCAAAGCCATTTGATATATTGATATGGAAGCATCCTCAGGTAGTTCAAAATCCAAGCCCCCCGCCCCCCCCCACCCCCCCCCCCTTAAACTTTTGAAGTGATTTGTACTTTTTCCTAGCCAATGTGCTCGGGTGAGCGATGTGGCCCATGGGCCTCTTGTTCACTTATATCATCATACTGTACATGCATTTTTGTTTAAATTCCTGAGGTGGCAATAGAATACTGTGAATGAAATATGTTGAGAATAAATATATTATATTAAGCGTGTACCATATTTGGCGGAAATCGAGTTTTGAAAAAGTTGGCGTAGGTTTGATTTAAGGCATTTCTTAAAAATCCTATTTATGTATATTTGTGCAAGACATTTAACGTTTTACTTGAATAAGCGGATATTTCTTTCCGCCAAAAGCGCTAAAAAGAAATATACAGCCAAATGTAATACGTTTACAGAATACAATTGCAAAACAAAGTATCATACTTTTTTTTATTCTGCTAAAGCAATTTCTCTTTTAGAATACATGAATTTTCAAAAAAGGTCGACCATCTTGGTTGGTCTAGGAATTAAGACAAAGCTTATTTTTTTTTCAATGCCAAAAATCTTTAAATTTGCCATATTGCTGTGTATACATGTATCGGCGAAGATACATTAGTTTATTTAAAAATTACAATGTTTAAATTGCTGGTATGTTTCTATGATGTTCTATAAATATTTTTATTAAAATATCCATAGACGTGTAAATACACAAACGAGTCGTGCATCATTCTTCAGCGTCATGCATTGCTTACAAAACCGGAAAACAATGACATCATAAGAGCCATTTCAGGTTTTCCCCCAAATTATTGTCTTAAAGGGGCCTGGACACAGATTTGATTTTTTGTTGTTGTAATTTCTGTATAATATCATGACGTATATATTGTTAGAGCATTTCACATGGAAATATACTAAATAAACTTAATTTATCTTGAAATCATTGAAACTTATATATTGCGAGAGCATTTCACATGGAAATGTACTAAAACTTATTTTACCTGGAAATTATTGAAACTACGAATTTCGGGACGCGTTTAATTTACACATCCTTGCACTTTCAAAAAGTATACTTTATCCTTAATAAAGCAGAAATTTTGTTGTGTGTCAATGAAAAAACTATAATCCAGAAAATTCAGAGTACATGAAGAAATGTGAGAATGCAGAACCATCTCACCAGTATTGTCAGCCCGTGCTCAGTGATATGTGCAGAGATTAAAAAATTGAACACCCTCGGTGAAACGTAAACATTAACAATAGCAGAGCTCGTACCTGTTTACAAAAACTGGCCTTGTTTAGTGCAAATTCAATATCACACAGTATAACAACGAGCATACTTACTTCTTGTCTTGTTTCTTTCCAATTTTTAATTTTGTTTGAATGCAAATATAAAAAAGAATACTCGGAGAAACATTCCTTTGAATCAAATACAGACTGACGCTGCAAATCACGTTTGAAAAAGCAGACACAGATACGTTTACTGTGGTTTTTGAAATGAGAATTAATAGCCTGTCATAGAGGGACTTTTCAAAATAATTTTTAAAATGTAATATTGTAAGTTTTCATTCAGAAATAATAAGTTAAATAGAAGAATGAGTTATACACAGTAAACAAAAAGAAAAATGAATTTAAACGATTTTTCTCAAGAAAAATCTTTTTAAAAATTCAGAAAACAGCAGAAAAGAAATAAAAAAATAGTTTGAAAGGAAAATTTTGATGGACGAATGTACGAGATTGAACAAATACATTCGAATGTTGTATTATCGTTAAATGAATTATATATATCATTGTCCTAACTGTCATAAATATAGCTAACAGAATTGAATCAAAATATTCTTATCAAATGATCAGAATCATGTTTTGATTACAAACAATGAATGATTGTATGGGTAGACTCTGAAATTGTTTAATGATCACACGAAATAGAACAAAGTTTAGAATAATTGTTTATTTTGCAATACTTATCTTTTCACTTAGGTTTTTTGTGAAACAATTTTTTGCAGATTATGTTTTATTTTGGTTGAAATCTGTAAACTGTTACTGTGGAAGTGAGGCCCCTGTTATCCTTGTTGCTACACACGCAGAGGGAAAGTCGGAACAGGTAATATTACGTATATAGATTTTTCTTGACATTTATAAAATCATGCCTGACGATTGCTTTATTTTTTTCATATTTAAATTCATTTGAACCTTATGAACCACAGTTCATGAATGGAATCATATGAAATAATATTTTCTAGGAAAAGACTGAATATTACCAAGAACTTATCAACACGTTCCCTATGTCTTCGACTATCAAAACACACTTGTCCAGCGATAGGTATTTCACAATAAGTCTGGAAAAGCATAATGCATCTCATTTGGAAGGTTTAGATGAATTAGAAAAAAGCATTGTAGAAGTAGCAAAGTCACAAAAACATTGGGGAGAAGAGATACCCATGGATTGGGCTGTATTTGAGAAATTCATTTCAGAAAAAAAAGATACAAAGCTTCAGAAGCTGGACAAATTAAAGGAATCATTTGATGAATTGTTACTTATAAGCAGACAGGAATTTGAAGACTTATTACGCTTTTATCATGATATTGGATTGATTCTATATTTTTCATTTAAAGATCCAATGAGTGATGATGACCCTCAACTTCATTTTGTTTCTGAAATTGTTATCCTTGATATTCAGTGGTTTGTCAACTCATTTAAGTATGTGATGACAGATTCAAAACAAGCCAGTTTCAATAAAGTAATAGATGCGGCTCCCACAAGAGAGGTGCTAGATACATTTACAACTACAGGGGAGATCTCTGGCACGTTCTTAAAAGAAATCTGGACAGCTTCGAAAAATCAAACAGCAGTGGAATACAAGGATGATATGGTGAAATACATGGAACGATTGGGCCTCATGGCGATAGAAGAAAAGTCAGATATATGTTTTATTCCAAGCATGAATAGAATGAAAGTTCCACTCCTTGTTAAATCAAAGATTCATTCACGTCCAAAGAAATCACCAACTCTGTACTTGAGATTCCCTGTTCTGCCTGTCTTTCTCTTCTACAGGCTGATTGTGCTTTGTTTAAAGTCGCACTGGAAACCATTGAGCGACGGAAGAAAATGTATATATATTGACACAGCTATGTTTTATTTTCAAGAACATATTTTAGTTTTAGGAGTAAGTGAGAGTTACATACAGTTGATGTTGTATAATGATGATAATCTGACACAAGAGGAATCAATACAAACGGCTTTTAGTGAAGTTAAAAAAAAAGTAAAGATTATGTTGTCCTCTCTTACAAAAACATTTAACAGCAACCTTAATTATGAGGCTGGATATAGCTGCGCATACACACCTACAGATTTTGGTGAAGAGCTAGGCAACACTTTTATAACAGAGGAGGATTTGTTTAGGAACCGCGGAATAAAATGTCCCCTCCACGCACTTGCAGAAGACCATAATATTGGATTTCTAAGAATATTCTTGGTAAGAAATTCTTGTTATTAATATGGATAGTAGAAGAAATTTGGATTCATATGTACTCACCATCAATATTTGCATTTTGTATTCTATTGTTAAATAAAAGACGATCTCATAAGATAAGCTTTAATAGGTAATTTCAGCATATTCTGAAGTTTCTCTGAGTCATTAGATGATAATTTTTGCTTACACATGAAATATTTCATAAAATCACCTGATATATTACTTTTTTGTGACAAACGTACTTTCTTTCCCTCAAATTAGTTAATCCTTAGTATGAAAGTAAAGCAAATAGAATATGAAATCTACCGAATATAGATTTTATATAGAATCTGCAAATGACATAGCAGTGTATCACATGTCCGACAGAAAATGTGTACAATAGCACAATAAAATCCAGTCTTATACAGTTATTGTAGTTTAGTGTACAGTTTCGGCATCGGCATAATTAAAATATTATACATGTAATGAACTCAGGTATTGCAAAGTTTTTCACAAGCGAAGGAAGCGCTCATTTTGCATTATTTTTAAAACCCTTCTTCTTTTGTGTAACTAGGGATGCATTTTTTGGAAACAAAGAATACATTATCGAATTATATAGGTTCTATATTTGAGCATTTCATCTAACTTTAAACTTCAACATATGATATACATGTACGAGGGTTGTTGGAAAGTTCGTTGACAAGACCTATTGTGGTCGCGCTATTAGCATGAGAGACAATGCTTATTTTCTACTCGATATGCAAAGATTTTCTTGTTTCAGATGATCCGGAAAAAAAATATGCAACTATATTATTTAGTTAAAACATGCTTTGCGGAGGATGCTACGTTTTGGCACGTTTACATTACACATATTTAGGCATTGCTCTTTATATCAAAATTGCACAGTTGTAGCGTATAAGAAATGAAGCGTATAAAAAATGATATTCCAACTCTCGCTACGTATAGAAAATTTATTTGGCGAAATTTTGAATTAAATTTGAGGGGTTATAACTGTCTTATCGTTAATTATAGTTGATCAATGCGTAAAAACAAGGACGAGAATGGCAACGTTAATGAACGTCTTGGGGCACCGAGCTATAAAAAAATAATTCGCCAGCAGGAAAATGCCTGAAAGAGAAAATTTATGTTTTTAGATATGCTGTGTACGTAGATTGCTTACACGTTTTAAAATGGAAGTAGCTCTGTGAGAATGGAAAACTGTAAATTTTTGCTGATCAACTCCTACGATACCGTACCCAACTTTTTGCATGGACTAAAGCTGCGCCTTCAGATTTTTTGCATTATTTCCATATATGATCACTTAACATAGACATTGAATTGTATTCGAAACACCACAAAAGACGTATTGATAGTCTTATTCACTATTTAAGTTGGAAAAATACATAAAAAGTCTATAGAACTTAAAGACATTTGGAACTGCAAAAAGGCTTAAAAGGTTGTCACGTCCCATAATGTCAAGTGATTGCTCATTGAATCCAATTACCGCACAGTAAAAATCATTGTATATTTTCAAAATTTTAGCTATTTGATTTGATTTTTTACGTAATAATAAACAAAAGATAGTAATTAAATCATGCATACGTCATTCTTCAAAGTAGATAATAAATTTTCCGTAAATTAATGTGTCCGGGACTTTTCTAACAACCCCTGTACATAATAAGCTGTATTTTTCGTTGGAACACTTTTACTACAGAACATATTCCTCACAAACACGTAAGTGCCTGTTAATCTACATGTACATGAATTACACAATTTCATGAATTGAAATGTATAATAAATGCACATACACATATATGTCCTAGTTAATATAACAAGGTCTTTGAAAGCAAATGAGACTCTGCAAATTTAAATAAGTTTTTTTTGTCTGTAATGATATTTACCTTTTATTTATTTGCCAAAAAATATTGAGCCAGTTGCTAAGAAATGATTATTTTTTCTTTTCTTAGATATACTAAAGTGTAAATATTTCATTGCAAAAATTGTAAAAAAAATAAATTGACCTTAAAAGTTTTCATCATAACATCGGTTACATGTACCAGATCTTTAGAGATTTTAAAATTCATATATAACAATATAACAATCAAAAATGGAATTCACGGTCATATACGAGTAAATTATCAGAATCTTACCATGTGTATAACAAGCTTTATTTTTCTTTTTTCTTTTTTTTTTTTTAAATTTAACGATGTACGACTTAGTCAATCAATAGATTAACTGCATGGATCCTGAGGTCCACTCAGAAAATATATCAGCAAACCGGAAGCGATGGCAAAAAATCAGATTGCACATGCACCAGAATGCAATTAGTTCGCCCCTAAGACAACTCGCTCTAAGGACAGTGTACCTCTAACAAAAGCTCACCCTCAATTGGGAAAGTTTGCTAAATTTATAGTATTTATCTCTAAGCAGACATTTTAAGGCATCACCCAGATCATTATTCGGCGAATTTACATTTTTTTGTAAAATTCAACATTGATAAGCGGGGAAAGCCATGGCTAAAACATTTAATTATATAATCCATTGTATAGACGTCAATGAGTCTTAGGCTAAAAGAAGCAATCATGTGATGTTTTTAAGTAGAAAACATATATATGCCTTAACAAAAAGTAAAAAGTTCAACACCAAACCCGTGGAGGATTCATTCCTGCTACTCTTCTGTCTCGGAAATGATTATTGCACATAATCGAAACCTTACCTAAATACATACGACAGAAGAATCATCATTTATTCAAGTTAAGCGCACGAATCTAGCAGCACTTTCGAAGTACAATATATTATAGAAAACAATCTTTGATATAAACAAAAATAATGTTTTAAAGTACTCGGTATGCTGCGCAATATTGAACTTTTGCGACAATGTTGTAAAGAACGACAGAGGAAAGGCTGATCGGGATTCCAAAACACTGCGTGTCTTTATTATGAAAAAAAGAATGAAAAAAAAACAAGTTGCTCTCCTTAAAAAAGGACTGCGATATGTGGACCATATGCATGTGTTTCTAATTATAAGTTTAAAAATATCTGTTTTAATGAAAATTAGTTATAAAGAAGATTTTTTTTTTCATCTTGAAACATGCAATTTTCATTATAATTTCACGCAATAGTCATACCAAACCTGAATATCAATTATACTTTATCGGGGCATCTAATATATAGCATTGACCTTTAACGTTGGATTGTTGGAAGTATGGGGGTCAGCCATGTATCACAGTTGTCTTTGCACTAGTTTTTGCTCTTGAACGGTCAGAGTTAAATTTTTTTCCATTTTAAGCAGTGTTGTTGTCCTGACAGGATGACATTTCTGTTGAAAAGGGGATATATCACTGTTAAAGACAGTATGTGATAACAGACCCAAAAGAAGGGGCGGTGGTAGATTTGTCAGTGTATACTTTACTATAGAAAAAAAAGGTAATTTACAGTTGTGTCCCCTCTATAGTTTTCCCAACAAAAAACTATACAATAAAAATAAGCTAATTTATTGTCATACACACTCAAGAAACGTCAGATGACATTTTTTTTGCTTATCAAGCATTTCTGTTATTTACCCCCCCCCCCCCAACTGAAATTACTTTCTCCTATTGAAAATCATTTACTCAGTTTAAAGACACAAAATATATTATTTTTGAAAATCAAAACATTTCTGGGAAAAAATAAAGTTTATCTTGAAAATATCTATATTTTCCAAGATATTAAGTGTTTAACAACGGATTATGTTCTATGGCGACGGAATATTGAGGGATGTTCCGCAGCCGTAACAGTTTCTATACAGAGATTTCGCGCTTTTGTCTGCGTAGTAATCTCATTAAGGATTCCTCTCATATTTCTTCATAATGGCAGAATCTTGATTTTTTGAATACTCAATATTAAGACTGTGTAAACTATTTTAACATCCAAAAACTTTAGTGTCATCAGCCTCGATTTTCAGTCAAGGTTATTTGAAAGCAAGTCCTTAAAATAGTACTTTTACACAGGGAAGTTTTGAAATTTGTGCACATGAATAAATTTTGCTTACTGAAAAAAAAAATATCTTTCACCATAAAATTAAGTTGTTACTTATACTTGATCACTAATTAAAATGAAATGGGCTGGTGAAAAGAAAACATGAAATCCTTTATGTTCAATAAACAAAATTCTCAGTTTTCATGAACTCACATGAAATTTCATCTCAATTCTTACAATTGATCATATAATGTCAAACATTTAGATTTTTGTCTGACGAATGTGCAAATGTTCAAGATTAATTTACAAGGTAAAAAAGATATGGTAATCAGGCAAATTATAGAAAAAAAAAATTAGTCCCAATTTTCTCTACACTTTCTAAATTCTTCAAGTGTTTTTAATATCTACAATAAAAAAATAATCCTCCAAAAATATAGCAATTTGGTGTAATTGTGACATATATACATTCATTTCGACCAGTTATACATTTTACTTATATGGTATTTTACACTATTGATATTTAAAATATTCATTTCGAATTTCCTCTTTCATTTTATTCTTATGAATAAGTTATGTTTGACAATTTTATAAAATACAACTTTCTAGTGGCAATTACAGAAAATTATCACATACATTTTTCACATGCAAAGGACTAATTCAAAGCAACTTAACCTTCAATATAACCAGGAATAATAATAAACCTTCCAAAAAATTATAAGAAAAATCATACATAAAATTTCATAGACTAGAAAAGATTTCAATACATTATTTATGATATAAACATGAAATCAATATACATGTATGGTGAACAAGCCATATCAATCCAGACACTCAATGCTTAATATAAGAATACCAGATGTACCAATACATGCCTATACATGTATATGTAGTAAAATAGTATATATAAATAGGTCCCTGGTATTATGTTATTGGATATTTCACATATTTCACTGAGTTTTGAAATAAATAAATACGTACACACATTTATGAGTATAAGTATATAGTTTGTTCAGCACAAATAAATATAACTCCTCAATGTGATCATATATTGCATAAAATTTGCTAGAGTTTTAAGATAACAACAAAGCCATCATCAATGACAATCAAATGCACTTTGACATCTTTGCCTGAAAATGACATCCTTTGAACTTTGTAACAATAATATTCATGTTAGCTGTCCAACTTAATTTCACATTTAGATGCAAAATACTTATTCGAGGATGAAATTTCTTTTCGAGAATTTGTAACACAAACATTTATTTATCAGTGTCAATAACTTGTTTTGAAATTGAATTAAAAATTACCTCTTGAGGGTTTCTACTGCAAGTATATGTAGTTAATTTCTAAAAATCTAAATTTTAACCCGGCCACTACCAGCAATTTTCTTCGGCATGCTCTTCCTTAAAATCATCCTTTAACTAAATTATCTAAAGCAGGCACATTTTTATGCATCTCAGAACTGTATTTTAAGTTTAAAACTGTATTTGAAAATATAAAGCAACTGAATACATAGTATATATATATATATATATATATATATATATATATATATATATATATATATATATATATATATATATATATATATATATATATATATATATATATATATATATATATATATATATATATATAAAATTAAATACAAGTTGTTGTAATGCCAGTACATGTAAATCTTCACACTGTAATCTAATGAAAGATAATGCTTGAAAAATTCAGTCTAGGAGAAAGATTTCAAATTTAAATCAAAGATTCTGTAAAGTAATCACATTCTACAAAGCGTGCATTGTACCTGGTACTTGGGATTTTTTTCCCACAAACTTCAATACATTTAAAAATAAAGGAAGTCAAATAATTAAACATTATATGAATATAAATTAAACTACTTTTGACTGAAAGTTTGTGAGAAAAAAAATCAAGAATGGAATCATGCAATAAGCAGCAGTGGCTTTGATAGCATGCATTGACTTCCAAATTTCTACAAAACATTTTCTCTGATCATATAAATATATAATTCCTGCTTCTGACATGATATATTCTGAGGAAACCTCTTTTCCACAAACAGCCATCATTCATTTGATGTGGGAATTTCTTGTTGAGTTACAATTAAAAAAAAAGTAATATATTTTACATAGCAGCACAGATGCTGCATTACATGATAGTTAGATAAAGTTGTGTCCATATTTCTTATACATGTACCTCTATAGTCTGCCAGCACCCCTTGCTCAGTCATCCTGCATTCTGGCCTCCAGTTTTTTCCTAGTCTAGGGTGAAGTAGGATTGTTTTTCTCCTAAGAATTAAATATGAACATCCCTTAGACTATTTTTTTAAATTAATGGAAATTGATTATAAGATTAAACAACTAATCTCTTCTGTATTTCATTTATTGATTTAAATGAATGAAGATATTTTAATGGGTTCTACCACATGTATATTGTCTTATACTATAGTGTATTAGACATAAATAAACATTTTTTTTGTCCTAAAAATGCAGAAAAGGAAAGAACAATAATATAAATAGTCTGAACAATAATGTTTCCTTTGCTCTATTTTTTGGACAATTGTGTGTTTCAATATAATTGATATTTCCACATACAATATCAAGTTATTTTTTCCGTTTGGTTTGTACCCAAGCGGAACACCACACTTTTCTAATAAGTTGATGATTGTTGTGTCTTAAACAAATTAGGCTAGATAGAAATAAAATTTGTTGTAATCATACACAAAAAATGCTATTTTTGTGAATTATTATTCATAAAACTGACGAACACACGGAAATAATAATTATATCCTTTTCAAATGTTGACAAGTCGCGGGAATAAGGAGACGAAATATATTGATAACAGATCTATAATTTCCGTGAGAATTCCCATAAATCAATAAAAACCTGCATGTATTTCAATTTCAAAATTATAAAAATCTTCAGACATATATAACTAACTTACATGCTCACTGCACACGACATGACATCAGACGAGGCAACGTGGGTCTGCAAAAGACTACGGGAAATGATCTGGACATTTTGACATTTGCTACCGAACTGCGAATTTTATGGCGATTGTCGCAAATAAAAGAAAAAAGTACGAAAAAATTATTTATTTCAATAGAAATAGATTCAACATTACTTAAACTGATAAATTAACCAATAGTTTTCCTTTAGTGCAATTAAATATGAATTTTGCTTTTTACGACTTGCATAATTTTGAGACCCATTGACGACGTAAAATGTTGACAAGTGTCCATCCTCAAGTTTTACAATGGCCGTCAATGCATCCATGGACGAGTGCATTGGTTACTCCTAAAGGTGACACAGGTTAACCCTTCGTTAAAATTTATTTCATTTATTTGCGTACTTTTAGTGATACATGTGTTATATGTCTTACCACGCCATGTGCGTTTTTTTAAAAACGTTTTCATTAAATTGATTCATTCACGAACATAGCAAGACATAAGACAATACACATACAATCAAACGCATCAGGGACGCTGAGCGGCATAAGGATAAAGTAGAATACATTACATCTTCCCCCTTAAGATAAATATTATTATTCAAATATAAAATTGATACAAGTAAGTAATTTATAAAATCAAATTTTGAATGTTAACTTTGATACAATCAGTTCAAAATACAATTAACAAAATGTCCTGGAAAATCAGTAGTTTCCTCGAAAATTCAACCTACTGAGAGTTTTGAGAATAGACATCACTGAATAACACATACACTTATACGCTACACACATGTAAGCACTTTTCACTAATACACTAAATTTCACAACAAGATTAATTGGCGAAATCCTAGAATTTCCTTGGCGGCTTCACGACACGTCCTGCTCTGGTAACAATGCAAGATGACGACTTAACCGTTTCAAGATGTTTTGGTAAGTCAGATGATTGTGATGTACTTCCGGCTTTCGGTAGATTTTCATCAGATGACTCTTTCGTTATAGTCGAATTGGATGAGTCAGAGATTTCTGGTTCTGTGGAGTCTTGATAATGTTTAAATTGAGCTGCTGTTGGTCTGATATGTTTATAGTTTCTTCTGTATTTGGTTCCATCATTGGTCTTGACCATATAGGACCTGTTGCATTGTTTAGTCATCATGTTTTCGGGTATCCAATCGTTTCCATGTTTCGTGACTCTTTTTTCACCCGAATCAAGTGGTCGAAGTTCTCTGCCTGCATGGCGGTCAAAGTATACCATCTGTTTGGTCTTTCTGGTTTCAATTCACATCTTCAGATCACTTGACGATGTTGCTGCTGATAAAAGTGGAGAAGCAATAGGGAGATCTGTTTTTAGTCTTCTGCCTAAGAACATCTGTGCAGGTGATAAACCAATTTCTTCAATGTTGGTATTAGGATAGTAAAGCAAAGATTTGTGTAGGTCTTTGGCTTTACGTAACAAGTTCTTGACTGTTATAACGGTCCTTTCTGCCTGTCCATTGGCTTGCGGGAAATAAGGTGATGAGGTCACATGAACAAAACCGTATTCCTTGCTAAAATCTCTGAACTCCTTGCTGCTGAACTGTGGTCCGTTATCTGTAAGGACTTTATCAGGTTATCCATTTCTGGAAAATTGGGACTTCAGACATTGTATTGTAGCATAACTGGTAAGTCCTGGTAACTTCACGACTTCTAGCCATTTTGAGTAATGATCGACTGATACCAGGTATTGCTGGTTCTCAAACTCAAAGATATCTGCTAAAATGTTGGCCCATGGTCTGTCAGGTTCTCCCAGAGGAATAAGTGGTTCCTTTGGGTTTGAGGTAGAGTGCTGTGCACATATCTCACACTGAGATACCATTTTCTCGATGTCTTTAGACATTCCTGGCAAATACATTACGTCTATGGATCTGCTCTTACACTTCACAATTCCTAAATGTGAGATGTGTATCCGGTTCAAAATTTCTGTTGTCATCAAGTCCATCAACACACGAGATTTCGTCTCGAACATTCCAGTATGCCTTGATCTCATCTGGAACTTCAGCTTTCGAGTCTGACCATCCCTCTAATACTGTGTCAAGTAGTGACTGCAATTCTCCATCATTTGTTGTAGCTATCTTGAACTCATCACATTTCGTCGGAGAAACTGGTAAGTAAGATATCAAGTGAATGTCATTCACTGAAATGTCAGAAACAAGGGTTTCCTTTGTTTCACTGAGATAGATCCTGCTGAGAGTGTCTGCTAAATTCATTGTCTTTCCAGGCTTGTAGGTCACTTCTAAGTCTTTGTAATCTTGGTGGAGCAGAATGAAGAAGTTTTCTGAATATGCTCTGTAAAGTTTGTGATCACTTTCTACATCCACATGACGTCCAAAGATAAATTGGTGAAATTTTGTACAGCCAAAAGTGATTGCCAGTGTCTCTCTTTCTATTTGGACATAGTTCTGCTGACTGTCTGTCAATGCTCTAGAATCCTAAGCAATAGGCTGATTTTCTTGAGGAATACAGGCACCAGTCCCTTTGAACTTGCATCCACTGTTAGTACTAAGTCTTTCTTGGGGTTATAATATCTAAGTCCTGATGCTTCTGTCACAAGCCGCTTCAATTTCTCCGAACTCTTCATTTGATCCTCTTCCCAGTGCCATGCAATGTCTTTGCTGAGTAAGTAACTGCCTCAATGGTGACCTGATTTCAGATCAATTTGTATTAAATTTTCCCAAATATTGCACAAATCCGAGAAATGTCATTAGTTCTTTCAGATTTCCTGGCAGTTTCATTTCTTGTACTGCTCTAATATTTTCTGGATCTGGCCTTACTCCAGCCTTAGAAAGTTCACTTCCAACATATGTGACTTTATCTCTGCGAAATTCACACTTTTCTGGATTATGTTTTAAGTTGAATTTCTGTACACGATCCAGAACATGTAGACGTTCATCATGTTCCTGTTGATCTCTACCCCAAATAACAATATCATCTATGATGGCGTCACATCCTTCAATGTCGTTCATCACATCATGTCGGAGATAGTTCTCTGGTAGACTTCCGAAGCAGATTTGATGCCAAAGGTCATTCTGGTGAAGCTGTATCTTCCATATGGTGGGTGTGTTAAAGGTGCATAGCTCTGTGCTCTGCTCATCAAGCTTGAGTCGCCAACATCCAGACGTTGAAACAAGTTTTGTGAACATGCTCGCATCTCGAATTAGCGTAAATACTACGTCCACTGTCTTGAGAGGAAAATGCTCTCGCATAATGGCTCTATTAAGGTCCCGTGGATCTATATAGATTCGAATACTTCCGTTGGATTTGATGGGTGTGATCATTGAATTCACCCATTGGGTAGGCTAATCCTGTATTATGATGACATAATTTGCTTCCATCTTGTACAGTTCTGCTTTCACTTTATCTTGAAGTGATAGTGGTATCTGTCGAGGTGCGTGAATGACCGGTGTAACATTTGGATCCACTTTTATAGTGTACCCTCCCGGCATGCATCATAATCCTTGAAAAACTTCACTGTACTTCTCTTGGATGTCACTTGGTATGCCACTGTTCTCAAGTTGATTTACTCTTGACACAAGACCAAGACTGTCACAGGAATTTACTCAAAGAATTGGTTTGACATCCATTTTCATCACATGAAAATTTAAGTCAATTGTTCTTTGTGTTTGACTGGTAGAGTCACAAATCCTGTTGGCTTTATAGTGTGACCTGGATATGATCTCAATCATGGTACTTCAGATGGTTTTATAATGTCTGAGCAATGCATCTTCTCTATTTCATGAAATGGCAACACATTGCACATTGCTCCAGTGTCAAGTTGGAAAGTAATCTTTTTCACATGAATTTCCAATTCTGAAGTCCATCTGTTAAACTGTTTATCTATCTTTCAACATCCAGGCTTCCCATGAGTAGAAATTCACCTCCTCTTTGTGTGTCGCTTGAATCTGAGTAGTCTTCTTCCTCCACTAGGCGAACAGACTTTGATTTGCTTTTATTCGTTGTAGTTCTACAGACTTGTGCAAAATGGTCTCTTTTGTGACACTTTTTGCATATTTGTCCTATAGCTTGGCATGGTTTCCCATCATGTTTGTATCCACATCTAGTACACAGTTTGTCATGTTTACTTTCACTGAACTTGTGCTTGGGTTGTTGACTTCTATCAGATTTTTTGAAACTTTTAGTGTGTGAAGATGGCTTTCCCTTGTGAACATAGTTAACTAAAGGGTCTTCTCCTGCCATAGATTTGGCTTGGGTCTGTGAGAATTCGTGAGTGCATGCTATTTCCATAGCCTTCTCTAGCTGCAGTTCTGAGCCGACTTGAATGAGTTTCTCTCTGATTTTGGGGTTACGAACACCTATTACAATTCTGTCTCTAACCATTTCATCTGGCTTGTCATAATTACAGTCTTTCACTAAAATTTTCAAACTGTTCGAGTATCTCACCTGTTTCTCGAATTTTACTGTGAAACTTGTAACGGCTGAAAATTACGTTTGACCTGGGCTTCACATATCCCTCGAACTTCTCTACGTAGTTTTTAAGTTTCTTCTGTTTTTCATCTGAGAGTTTCCATGTGGAAAATATCGTCCTTCCTTTCTCCCCTACCCAAAGCATAAGGTACGAACACTTCTCTGGTTCCGACTTTTCTCTGAGCGGTCCCGAGAACATGAAATCTGCATGCAGATTGAACGTTTTCCAGGCGGATTCTGAATCCTGTGCCTCCCAGTCCATCCTAGGAACTGCACCGTTTAACATATCCATTATTTAATGGTTGTTAGGGCTCTTTATTGGCTCTTAAACTTCTGACACCACGTTATATGACTGACCACGCCCTGTGCGTTTTTTACAACGTTTTTTATTAAACTTTGCTAAACTTTACTAAATTTTGTTATGAAAATGAGCTATTTTTCGATAACCAATAACGGCTGGGACTTGGCATATCTGTTTTGGATTCTATCATGGGAAAGATAGATGGTACACATGTAGCTGAGCTCGCGGGTCCTTTTTTTAAGGATACCCCCTTGGTACAGACCTGTAACAAGCTATTTGGATTGATACTTGACTTCTTACAACTTGAGTATCTCTAACGTTTTGTAAGTGAATTCTCCTTACCATCTATATACATAGCTATTGTAAATATTTTTTTTTATTTTAAATTTATGATTTAATCCTGATTTTTGATACATTAAAATGTAATTTATTATTAATTATATTAATTTATTTATTATAAAAATATTATTTACAAGTTTAAGCGAGTTTTCAATGATGGACGATTGCCTTTTTTAGGGAGGTGGGGTGGCGATTTGTCTTAAGGGCAAGTTGTCGTAGGGTGAACTCGCTACCCTTCTTATACATACGCAGTCCTACATTTAATTAAGGAATGAATTTAATAGCTACCCATTTTATACGGTATAAACTGGGTTGGAACAGTTTACGCTTCATAAACCGTGAAGTGGTTTATAATAAAGCGTAACTGTTCCATCCCAGTTTGTATACCATATAAATTGGGTAGCTATTAAATTCATTCCTTATAATTTAATTTTCAGTTTAATTTTCATTCATTTGGTGTAAGAAAAAAAGATGATTGTCCTTAAAAAAAAAAGACTTCAATTTGTACAAAATTTGAATGTAACGTCAGGCGGATCGAAACGTTTTTGACGCAAGTCATTGTGATGTAGGCAACCCATTTTATACGATATAATGTAAATTTTTCATCCAAACAAATACAGCGTTACAACCAATTGAATTATTCTAAAATAAAAAGAAATCGTAATCTCTCAAGTTCACGTCATCTAGCTTACTATGACATCATACTGTATAGATAAGTAGAATATCTGGGTGTAACCTTCATGTAAACCTTGGTTGCGTATATTTTTTTTAAAATAAATCACAACACAGGTTTAAATGTTCAACAGGTTATATTATCAATTAATAAAAACATATCTCTTTCTTTCCAACTATCTCTCTCTCTCTATCGATCTGGCCCTGCAAAATCAATGTACAAAACCTCAGCAATGTATACAATACTCTCATGTTTATAAAATAATACAAAACACTAATCATAAAATAGTCTCTCACTAATTAATACGTATCATGGCGTATTAACTCAATATCTTAATAGTTTTAACACTCATAAATTTAATTTATAAAGTGATCTCCACTGAACCTATTTAATTATGAAAGTTTAGCAATAAAATTAAAATTATTTACAATTTACAAATTACATTTAACAAACGACTTACCAAAATTATGGAATTTAGGCTCTTCAATAAATATCTGTAAATTTACTAGGTGCTGTGCTGTTCTAAAAGAATATTAAACATGCAAGTTTTTAACTACTGAAAATATAAAAATGCAGAAATCTCATCCTGAAACAATACTTAAACTTCCAAGATAAATACCAAACAAAAAGTCAAACATACCATGACTGAAAATCCAAAAGTCCCAAAGTAAATAAGATAGAAATACAATCTGCTGGTACCACAGCACGGGACAAGAGTGACCAACACCCCAGAGAAATTCAAACACCTGTCTATGGGCACCAGTCATGTGATAGGTCTGCACCAATCGCTCAACGGAGTTTTGGCGGGAAAATAATAAATTCAACAAAATTGTAAAATAAATTAACACAGACACTTTTAATAACTTTAATATACTGTAATTTAATATGTTTGTAGAACTTTTATTTACCTACCTATATTTCATAATTATAAGTGCATAAAAATAAAAACACAATTTTAAAGTTATATATACAAAATTCTGATATGCTACATTCATATACCCGTATAACTGTATTTTAGTTTACAAATCTTTTGATCTGAATGATAAAGACAAGTCTAAATCAAGTATGTATGAAATACAAGCTAAAAATCTCATTTATGATACGTGCATGTGAACCC